CAAAAATAAATAAAGGTTGAAAAAAAAATTAAAAAAAAAAAAGAGTAAATTAATTTTTTTAGATTCATGTCTTACAACAATGACTTAAAAAGATTTGTTGAGCTATTACATACTGACATCCCCAAGGTCCTATGATCAGGACTGAAATTTAGATCTGAATTACTCCAGCCAGAACTCTTCTCTATTCACATCCCGGTACCTCGAATTTATACTTACTGAGGGAAGGGGAAGAAGTTTGCCCAAGGAAAGGTAGGCCTTGAAGGATGAGGAGGACTCGTTACGTGTACATGCGTGATGAACATGTGAGGTAGAACCCCTCGCTGACCCCTCCTATGCATCTCCTCCACACGTTTGTGGTGGCTGCTACTGGACTTTTCCCAATCCTGGAAACATGCCCACATCATGTCCCAGTGAGGATGGATTTCTTCTCCAGTGGCCCCTTATGCCCGTCCCCTACTTCATTCTGGCCCAAGCAGTGGGAGGAAGATGATGAGGTAGAAGAAAAAAGGAATACCTGGTATAGGAAGTGTTAGTGCAGTCATTTTTAGATAGCATTATTTTATATAAAAAAAAAAAAACGTGTGTGGATAATGTCTGTTTTTGTACCATGCCACTTTGGTTTACCCCAGTCCTCAGATCCAGTTGCCCAGTTCAGCAGCATCCAGGAGGAAGAGCCAAGAATTTAGAATAAAAAGGATACTTGAGTTTGACTCCTGGTCTTGCCCCTGAGACTCTGCACGGGTCACTTCTCTGAACTTCATCTATAAAATTGTAGTAGAGGGGCGCCTGAGTGACTCAGTCAGTTAAGCGTCCAACTTTGGCTCAGGTCATGATCTCACAGTTTGTGGGTTTGAGCCCTGCATCAGGCTGTGTGCTGACAGCTCAGAGCCTGGAGCCTGCTTGGGATTCTCTGTCTCCCTCCCTCACTCGCGTTCCGTCTCTGTCTCTGCCTCTGTCTCTCTCTCTCTCTCTCTCTGTCTCTTTCAAAAAATAAACATTAAAAAATTTAAAGTAGTAGTAGTAATAATAATAATAACAATAATAATGCCAAGTTCAGAAGATTTCATTTGAGAATTAAGTCAACATCATCATCAGTGCAGATCCTGCTTAGGATTTTCTCTCTCTCCCTCTCTTTCCATCCCTCCTCCACTCATGCTCTCTCTCTTTCTCAAAATAAATAACATCAAAAAATAAATCTTTAAAAAGGGAAAGAAAAAAAACATGATAATTGTCTTAATGTGCTTTCTAAGGATTTTCTAATTTAGAGAATTGTAAGTAGTACAGACGTCTTTGTTTTTGTTTTTCTTTTACAATAAAAACATGTACTAATTCTGTTTTCCACTTTCAGATTTGAATTGCCACCAGTTATTTTGTTTTCCATGGATGGATTTAGAGCTGAATATTTGCAGACCTGGGATACTCTCCTACCTAATATTCATAAACTGAGTAAGTCTCCACAACCACAGGCACACAAACGATGAGGACACCTAGTTAGCTATCCTGTAGATGTGCACCTTTCTTCCTGACCTTCCATATTAGTAGTTTGTCTTCTCCCAGGACCTCTGGAGATCCTGAGGACTTCACCACTCAGGATACCTAGTTTCATACTTTTGGCTCCTCGTCTTTTTTGAAGCATGCTCATCTTTTTGTTTGTTTCTTGTGATTCGTTTTGTATTTGAATATAACTTCATCCTATGGAAATCTGTTCACATATAATGTCTCAAAAGTCGTGTTTGTCAGACTTGGGTTCTGGGTCTTAGCAACAAGAATATGACCAGCAAGGACATGATCCTGAAGGAGTCTGAATGGCAGAGCAGAGTCAGCACATCATACGCTCCAGAAGGCAAAAAGTCTAGTATCTCTCTCTGGTTCTGGAATGAAACTGCCTGGAACCTGGCTTCACCGCTTATTAGCTGTGAGACCTTGGGCAAACTTATCTCACCTATTGGCGCTCTTTCTCTCCAGTTGTAAAATGGTCACTTCCTACCTGATGCAAATACTGTGAGAATGTAAATGTGGTACACACTGAATGGTTTTAAGCTGTGATTGTAATTATTGTTTCTGTTATCATCTTTATCAGGATGTGATGCTTCTTTTTAGGACACTTGGCCTTCATACAGTTTTATAAAGTTATTAATAAGGAGAAATTAAGTACCTATGGATACAGAGCCAAGAAGTATATCAGAGCATGTTTGGAACCAGAGGGTTGGTTCCAGAGTCTGTATTCTTCACTGCCTGACAATTCCTTGCTTTCTTCCCCCTTCCACTAGGCCTTCTTTTGCCTCTAAGGTTCTCAAAGTTTATCACAATTTTACTGGAATCCTGTTTTTATTTTTCTCCAAATTATTAAAAAAGAGCTGTTTGAGGGGCGCCTGAGTGGCGCAGTCGGTTGGGCGTCCGACTTCAGCCAGGTCACGATCTCGCGGTCCGTGAGTTCGAGCCCCGCGTCAGGCTCTGGGCTGATGGCTCAGAGCCTGGAGCCTGTTTCTGATTCTGTGTCTCCCTCTCTCTCTGCCCCTCCCCCGTTCATGCTCTGTCTCTCTCTGTCCCAAAAATAAATAAACGTTGAAAAAAAAAAATTTATTAAAAAAAAAAAAAAAAAAGAGCTGTTTGAGCCTGAGTAAGTCAATTACCTCATCTGGGTCTTCGTTTCTTCATTTGTAAAATGAGAGGATTAACTTTATGGAATTCTACTGTTAATTCCAGCTCTAAAATTCCATGACTCTAGAGAGATGAACTGCTTCCCCCTACAAACACAAGATACTTTGTCTCTTCAGCTTTTTTCTTATTCCCTGAGGCAGAACTACAGCAAAGACATTGAGAGTTTGGGGCTCTGACTGAATTAGCTTCAAATTCAGGATTTGTCATTTAACTGCTGAGTTACTTTGGCCTGGAAAGTTGATTAACACTTCCCAGTTTGTATTTCCTCATCTGAATTTTCCTTGACAATCGGGATATCCAATTCTGTATCCAAAAGGGAATTTAGCTAGCCAGGCTGAACCGAACCCCTTCTGAAGGGGAATTATTTGATTTGCTCATCCCGCTCAGGGTTGGAAATGACACCAATGAAACATTGGGCCATTGAGAATGTTCCCTTTTTAAAGTTTAATATGTATTTTTTAAGTCCTGCAGACAACATTTGATTCTTTAATGTGTAGACATCACTAACTAGGTCTACCAAGGCAAAATGGGCTGTTAGTTTCCAGGAGGCCTGATTAAGAATAGATGTGAATGAGATTTAGGATTAGGACTTCCTGGGAAAAGTAGGCTTGAGGTGAGGTGTGTGACAACAGACATCACTTTAAGGAAGTCTAGAACCCCATCTTCAGTATCCCAAGAAGCTGCCTGAGTTGGGTGACAGCGGTCTGGGAAGCTGAGCATGAACTAATACCACAGCCCAGTGAGTCATATTGGTGACTTAAAAGAACTCAGACTCAACTCTAGTGAGAGGACAAGGTCATTATCTTGTCTTAGTGTGGGTGGGGACAGAAAAAAAAGGGTCAGGCCCAAGAACAGCAGACTGTCAGGTGAGATGGAAGTAATTCGACTTGCACCACAAGTCAGGCTTCCTGGAAAGTTAGGTAGGAAATTGGGGATTGATTAAGACTAGTAGTAACAGGTGTATCTGGCAGGCAACATTTGTAGATTTTTGAAGATCAGAGTTAGTTAGCAAAGTTTACTTTCACAAACAATAGAATTCTTAACTTCTCCACAGCAGGTGCCGTTTGCTGTCTGCTGCCTCTTCCTCCTCCCCCTCTTCCTCTTTCTTTCTTCTTTTTAATTTTATTGTGGTAAAAATACTTAGGAGATATAACCACTTAACAGCCTTTTAAGTGTATAATGAAATATTGTTATCTATAGGCCCAATGTTGTATAGCAGATCTCTAGAATTTATTCATCTTGCGTAAATGAAATTTTATACCCATTGATTAGCAACTCTCCATTTTTTTCCTCCCCACAGAGCCTGGAAATCACCATTCTATTCTTTGTTTTAAGACCTTGACTCTTTTAGATCTCATATAAGTGGAATTATTTGTATTTGTCTTTCTGTAACAGGCTTATTTCATTTAATGTCCTCAAGATTCATTTATATGGTTTCATTTTTTTAAGGCCAAATCAAGTTCCACTGCATATATACACCACTTAAAAATCCATTTATCTATTGATGGACATTTAGGTTGTTTCCACATCTTGGTTATTGTGAATAGTATTGCATTGAACATGGGAGTGTTAATATCTCTTCAAGAACTTGATCTCAATTATTTTGGATAAATATCCAGAAGTAGGATTGCTGGATCATATGATAGTTGTATAACTGTTTTTTATTCTCACTGTCAGTGCACAAGGGTTGCACTTTCTCCACACCCTCACTAACACATGTCTTTTGTGTTTCTTTTTTTTTTTTTTTAATTTTTTTTCAACGTTTTTTATTTATTTTTGGGACAGAGAGAGACAGAGCATGAACGGGGGAGGGGCAGAGAGAGAGGGAGACACAGAATCGGAAACAGGCTCCAGGCTCCGAGCCATCAGCCCAGAGCCTGACGCGGGGCTTGAACTCACGGACCGCGAGAACTCACGGACCGTGAGATCGTGACCTGGCTGAAGTCGGACGCTTAACCGACTGCGCCACCCAGGCGCCCCTTGTGTTTCTGATAATAGCCATCCTAACAGGTGTGCAGTGATATCTCATTGTGGTTTTGACTTGCATTTTCCTGATGTTTAATGACATTGATCATCTTGTATGTATTGGTCATTTGTAGGTCTTCTTCAGAGAAGTATCTATTCAAATCCTTAGCCTATTTTTTAATTGGGTTATTAGGTTTTTTTCTATTGAATTGTAAGAATTTATTATCTATTTTAGAAGTCAATTCCTTACCACATATATGGTTTGTAAGTATTTTCTTCCATTCCATATGTTGTTTCTGTCGATGGTTTCCTTTGCTATGCAGAAGCTTGTTAGTTTGATGCAGTCCCATTAGTTTATTTTTGCTTTTGTTGCTTGTGTTTTTGGTGTCATATTCATGAGATCATTACTAAAACCAATATCACAAATCTCTCCTCCTCTTTTCTTGTAATATTCTTGAGTCTTTAGTTCATTTTGAGTTAGATATTGTTTATGGTATATGAAAGGGTCCTTGCCTAGTTCCTAATTTTACTGCGAAAGCTCTCAGTTTTTCATTGTTGAGTATAATCTTAGTTGTGGGCTTTCCATACATGACCTTTACCATGTTGAGGTAATTTCCCTCCATTTCTAGTATGTTGAGAGTCTTTATCATGAAAGAGTATTGAACTTTATCAGATGCTTTTTCTGCATCTGTTTAGATGATCATGTGATTTTTATCCTGTATTTTATTAATGTGGTATATCACATTAATTGATTTTCGTATGTTGAGCCATCTTTTATCACAGGGATAAATCCCACTTGGTCATGGTGTGTGATTCCTTTAATGTACTGTTGAATCCAGTTTCCTGGTATTTTGTTGAAGATTTTTTCATCTATGTTCATCGGGGATATTGTCCTGTAGTTTCCTTTTCTTGTGGTGTCTTTGTCTTCTTTTGGTATCAGGATAAATGCTGTCTTCATAAAATGAGTTTGGGACAGTTTTCTTCTCTTCAGTTTTTTGGAAGAGTTTAAGAATGATCGCCATTGATTCTTCTTTGTTTCATATGAATGTTTATTTTTGAGAGAGACAGAGACAGAGACAGAGCACGTGAGGGGGAAAAGCAGAGAGAGAGGGAGACAGGATCCGAAGTGGGCTCTATGCTGATAGCAGAGAGCCTGATGAAGGACTCAAACTCACGAACCATGAGATCATGACCTGAGCTGAAATTGGACCCTTAACTGACAGCTACCTAGGAGCCCCGTGCATTAATTTGTCTTTAAATACTTGAGAGAATTCATCAGTAAAGCCTTCTAATCCTAGACTTTTCTCTGGAGGAGGTGTAGTCTAGCTAAAGGTTTGTTAATTTTATCTTTTCAAAAAACCAACTTTAATTTTCTTGATTTTTACAAGTATTTTTCTACTCTTTGTTTCCTTTATGTCTGCTATAATCTTTATTGTTTCCTTCCTTCAGCTAACTTTGGATGTAGTTTGTTCCTTTTCTTCTTTGAGTTGTAAAGTTAGGTTGTTTATGTAAAATTTCTTTTTTTTTTTTTTTTTAATTTTTTTTTTCAACGTTTTTATTTATTTTTGGGACAGAGAGAGACAGAGCATGAACAGGGGAGGGGCAGAGAGAGAGAGACACAAGAATCGGAAGCAGGCTCGAACCATCAGCCCAGAGCCTGGCCGAGTGAACTCACGGGACAGCGGGGTCGTGACCTGGCTGAAGCTGGACGCTTAACCGACTGCGCCACCCAGGCGCCCCTAAAATTTCTTTTTTAATGTAGCTGTTTGTTGCTATACACTTCCATCCTCGTACTGTTTTTGCTGTATCTGTCAGCTGTTTCACCTACTACGCATTTAGTTTTCTGCTCTTTCTTAGAGTTTATAATTTCTTTTTTTTTTTTAATTTTTTTAATGTTTATTTATTTTTGAGAGGGACAGAGACAGAATGAGAGTGGGTTAGGGGCGGAGAGAGAGGGAGACATAGAATCTGAAGCAGGCTCCAGGCTCTGAGCTGTCAGCACCAGAGCCCAACATGGGGCTGGAACTCACTGAGCTGTGAGATCATGACCTGAGCCGAAGTCAGACACTCAACCGACTGAGCCACCCAGGTGCCCCAAGTTTATAGTTTCTAAGGATATATGTTTATTCTATTTATGTTTCCAGATTTTTGGGGGGGTTGGTACTTCCTTTTTGAAAAAGTTCTTTAAAGAGTAAAATACACAAATGATAAACTTTTAAAAATGATATTAAAATGTATATAGTAGAATAACAACAACCAACTAACAAACAAAAAAACTCTTTCCAGATCTTTCTAGCTTTATCTCTGCAGAAGCATCTACTCTTGTTGGTTTCTTGTGTATCCTTCCTTCTTTTATGATTTAGATTATTAAGTTCTAGAAGAAACAATTATAGAATATTTTGCTTTCTGTGAGCTGTTCTACAACAGCTCTTGTTCAAAGGCAGGTGATCCAAAATTGTAGCATGAATCATGGATAGTCTGCAGGTGTGTCCTATTTGGGACATCCCAACTAATGTCATGTTTTTACATTACTGGTAGCTTAGTTTGTGTTTTATTTTATACTCCATGGCTTTAGGCATTTAAGAATTTGATTACATCACCCATGTTTGAAGGAAATGAAAAGAAAAACTGACTTTAATATTTCTGTTTATTGTATGTCCCCCCCCCCCACTTAAATTCTTTTAATTATATGAGCGAATTGGATCTCATTTTATTTTCTTATTGTATGACTTCTTAAAAATAATAAATGTCTTTCTCTGGTTAAGTATGAGACTTATGGTAGTATTGACTGAAAAAAAAAGGTTATTTTAATCTTTAATTATACTTAGAAATCAAATCCTAGGGCAGGCCTCAAACTTAGGTACATCAGAACCACTTTGGGTGGCTTGCCACAAATGTTGATTTTTTTTCCAGATCTCTTTTCTTCATATTCTACTTACCCCTCCATTCCTACCAGAGTCCTATTTAGTAAACTTGATATGGAGCCCAAGAAGGTTCTGAAGGAGATAATCCCTAGGTCATATTGGAAACACTGCATATTGGACCACCTCCAAGCCTATTTGAGAAAACTTTCATTGTTTCCAACTATAAACTTTGTAACTTTCTGGACAAAAATCATTTTTGATTTTTGTTTTAACCTAAATAAAATCAATAATGGTGAAGCTTTCTTTTAGAATTTGATTTGACAGTATTTTGAAATGGAAAATTTCTTATCCTTCACTGTTGGAGAGGAAATAACAATGCTGGAGTGGTTCTGACCTTGAATGGCGTTATTGCACAGATCCAAAACAGCAGAACATTTGAAAGCAAAGTTGATGCCGCACTTTGTGGAAAACAGATCACAGGAAACTTCACTGATCAAATGGAAACTGTACTGAAAATAATAAGTAGTAAAGTTATTTACTACTTATTTTATAAATGTTACTACGTGACATAGGCTTATGCTCGTATATAGGGCAAATTCCTTTTCAGTTACCTAGATAGTTGTGTTGACTTTTGTTATATTGGACGCTGTCACATAAGAACTATTAGCTGGGATGAAAATGTTATATAGAAATTCTCATCATAATGACCTGAGTCAGAAAGAGAGGAGCAACACAAACATACAAAGCTGGTGGCAGTGTGTAATTTGGGGTATGCTTAGCTGAATGATCCCCAAGATGTGGCTCATGGACAAAATGTGGCCCACTCTATTTTTGTGTGGCCTAGTAAATGCTAAGAATTGTTTTACATTATTAACTGGTTGAGAAATAAAGAAGAGAATATTTAGTGATATGTACAAATTACATGGAATTCAAATTTCAATGTCCATAAATAAAGATTTATTGGAGGACAGCCATGCTTATTTGTTGGTGTAGCATCTATGGATGCTTTTGGCCTCACTAGCTGAATTCAGCTGCTAAAACAAGGAACATATGGACTTACAAAGCCTAACATTTATGATCTGGCCTTTATAGAGAAATGTTGTAGAGTCTTTCACTTCTCTATTAAAAACTGACATTACTTAGAATGTAGGAATTGTAGGCATCAGAATTTCAACCTTTTTGAAATCAAGGAATCGATCCCATTTACAGTTGCACAAAAAACCATAAAATACCTAGGAATAAATCTAACCAAAGAGGTGAAAAATCTATACACTGAAAACTGTAGAAAGCTTATGAAAGAAATTGAAGAAGACACAAAAAAATGGAAAAAATTCCATACTCCTGGATAGGAAGAACAAATATTGTTAAAATATCAATACTACCCAAAGCAGTCTACATATTCAATGCAATCCCTATC